TAGTAAGTACTTGCTCAGGTAGTTCCTGCTTTCTCTGGCCAAGAATCTCAAACCCTCGCAGGAATTGCTGCTTCCCGCCTCATTTGTCACCCCAGGGCCACGCTTCACGTTTTTTGCCATTGTCCCCTGGTGGGTCGGACCCACACGTGTGGGGCAAATGAAGGCAACGTGAGTGGGATGGTGATTTCAGGGCTGCTGGTGGGGCAGGTGCCTGTGGTCGGTCCCCCTCGCAAAGGGCTAACGCTTCAGTTTCCTGCAGGCTACACCTCTCTCTGCATATAAATAGCTACCCTTTTTTTTTTTTTTTTTTTTTTTATCTTTCGTTATTTCGTTTTCATTATTTGACTAACTCTCCCCACCAGTTCATCCTTTTTCGCACGTTTACAACAGCTCAAAGCAAAACGTCTCTAAAGATCTCTCTCCTTTGTGTCCCTTCCCCCTCAAACGGGGTTTTAACCTGTGTTCTTACAACCAAGGGGCACCACAGAAAGGAAGAGCCCAGAAATCACAAAAAAAAAGGAGGTGCCAGAGCGGGATAACTTCATGCTTGTTGTCTGATAAAACCAAACAGCCTCTAAAATGGTAATAAAACATCAATGCAACAAACTCGTGCGATTAATGCCCACTGGAGCCTTTTGAGCTCTCAAGAGCTGAAAACCACGTTTTGATTGTAACAATGCTTTTGGCTGTATCACCCGAATCATCGCATCACCTGAACAAATAGGTTAGTAACAGTAATATAGGTCAGGCGAGGAAAGTGCTCCAATTCGGGCTCATGCTGGGACTTCCTTCTCTAACTTCAGTTACTCCCCTCTTCAAACAAGGACCACTTTATCATTAACGTATTTTTTCACTTGTTTTAAGGCTCCTTTCCCCAGGCCACCTTATCGGCTTTTCTTATTTTCCGCCTTTTCTCTGCAGCTTTTTAGTTTCCCTCGGAAAGGGAAGGTTTTGGGGAGAGCCATAAAAAAAACCACCCCCGAAGCGAACCGCAGGGACAGGTTCGAAGCATCCCCGGAGACCGCTTCGTAAACGGAAAATCTCAATGAATGAGGCTGTTCCGGTGACTTCCCGCCCCTACAGCCCCGCCATCAAACCGGCTTTCCCCGAGGCACCGGGAGCTCCCCCCGCCAAACCCCCCCATCCCGCACAAAACCCCGCACGCCGG